CAACCGTCCGCAACCGTCCGCAACCGTCCGCAACCGTCCGCAACCGTCCGCAACCGTTCGCAACCGTTCGCAGTAGGACGCTAAGGCGCTGCCATTGGGGGAAGCTTTTGCAAGTGACTTTTCATGGATGTGTGACGTGTCAGTTTGCGACGCTATTCCATTGTGATTTGCATGAAAATGACATGTCGCGCAAGAAGCGTGATGCATTTCGCTGCGCAGGCGCAGTGGTTTGAGAGATCCGCAGTTTACTGCGCAGTGCCATTGGGATTAGCATTTGGAGAGTCGTGTTTTTGGGGTGTTGGATGTGGCCGTGCCATTGGGATTTGCATTTCAGGGTGTGGCCTCGAAGCTCTGTTTTCGTGACAAGTCTCAGCTGAAATGGCGATTTTGGTGGATGGGAGTGTGCTCAGAACGGGTCGAAATCATTCTAAACGTGTGGTGTGGTGCAAATTTTGTTGAAGCTCATGTGAGATGATATTCTCACTTTTCGTGGCAGGCACAGGATTTTGAGGTGTGGAAGTGCGATTTTCGTGGCCGGCGCAGGAAATCGTGAGGTTGCGAGGTGTGACGGAGGTGACATTTCGTGGCAGGCGCAGTACTTTGTGCGCGTTAGACGTGTGGACGCGGAAAGATGCGTGGCAGGCGCAGGGAATCGTGAGGTTGTGAGTTGTGGTAGAGGTGACTGTCGTTGTCTCATTGGGATTGGCGTGTGAGCGGGTGTTGTTTGGAGGGGCTGGAATCGCGAAACTGCTTGGCAGGGCTGCGTGATGTGTGTGCTCCGATGGGTGTTTCCGCTTGACTTTTGGAGGAAGTCTCGTACGAAACGCTCGTTTTGGAGACTTTGACACGTGAGTTTTTGAGGAAGTCTCGTACGAAACGCTCGTTTTGGAGAGTTGACACGTGACTTTTGGAGGAAGTCTCGTACGAAACGCTCGTTTTGGAGACTTGACGTGTGACTTTTGCAGGAGGTCTCGTACGAAACGCTCCGTTTTGGAGACTTGACGCGTGACTTTAGGAGGAAGTCTCGTACGAAACGCTCGTCTTGCAGCCTCGAAGCGTGACTTTTGGAGGAAGTCTCGTACGAAACGCTCGCGTGACTGCTTCTAGTGTGTGGGCAGACCGTGTCGCGACACGAGTGTCCCACAAGAGTGTCCCACAAGAGTGTTCCACAAGAGTGTCCCGCAACCGTGTCCCACAAGAGTGTCTCACAAGAGTGTCCCTTAAGAGTGTCCCACAAGAGTGTCCTATAAGAGTGCCCCACAAGAGTGTCCTACAAGAGTGTCCCACAAGAGTTTCCTACAAGAGTGTCACACAAGAGTGTCCCACAAGAGTGTCCCACAAGAGTGTCCTACAAGAGTGTCCTACAAGAGTGTCCCACAAGAGTGTCCTGTAAGAGTGACCCACAAGAGTGTCCTACAAGAGTGTCCCACAAGAGTGTCCCAGAAGAGTGTCCCGCAAGAGTGTCCTACAAGAGTGTCCCGAAACAGTGCCCCGCAAGAGTTTCCTACAAGAGTGACCCACAAGAGTGTCCTACAAGATTGTCCCACAAGAGTTTTCCACAACAGGGGCCTATATGAGTGTCCCACAAGAGTGTCCTACAAGAGTGTCCCACAAGAGTTTCCTACAAGAGTGACCCACAAGAGTGTCCTATAAGAGTGCCCCACAAGAGTGTCTTACAAGAGTGTCCCACAAGAGTTTCCTACAAGAGTGTCCTAAAACAGTGTCCCACAAGAGTGTCCCACAAGAGTGTCTCACAAGAGTGTCCCACAAGAGTGTCCTACAAGAGTGTCTCACAAGAGTGTCCTACGAGAGTGTCCCACAAGAGTGTCCTACAAGAGTGTCCCACAAGAGTGTTCCACAAGAGTGTCCTATAAGAGTGTCCCACAAGAGTGTCCTACAAGAGTGTCCTACAAGAGTGTCCCAGAAGAGTGTCCCACAAGAGTGTCCTACAAGAGTGTCCCACAAGAGTTTCCTACAAGAGTGTCCTATAAGAGTGTCCCACAAGAGTGTCCCACAAGAGTGTCTCACAAGAGCGTCCCACAAGAGTGTCCCACAAGAGTGTCTCACAAGAGTGTCCCACAAGAGTGTCCTACAAGAGTGTCCCACAAGAGTGTCCTACAAGAGTGTCCCACAATAGTGTCTCACAAGAGTGTCCCACAAGAGTGTCCTACAAGAATGTCCCACAAGAGTGTCCTACAAGAGTGTCCCACAAGAGTGTTCCTACAAGAGTGTCTTCTAAGAGTGTCCTACAAGAGTGTCCCACAATAGTGTCCCACAAGAGTGTCCCACAAGAGTGTCCTACAAGAATGTCCCACAAGAGTGTCCTACAAGAGCGTCTCACAAGAGTGTTCCACAAGAGTGTCTTCTAAGAGTGTCCCGCAAGAGTGTCCTACAAGAGTGTTCCACAAGAGTGTCTTCTAAGAGTGTCCCACAAGAGTGTCCTACAAGAGTGTCCTAATGACATGACCTATAGGATAGTTTTACTCACTTCCGTTGTGTGTGTCTCATATTGCTGGAAATACTTGGACCCAGACGTCTGTTGTTCGAGGCTCCGGTGACACATCTAACAAACGTGTGTGCGATATATCCATACGAATGTTGGACCTGTAGGATAGTTTTCTTCACTTCCGTTGTGTGTGTGTCTCATATACTTCTTGTCGATGCAGGCGAACCACAACAACGCACGGTCTTGCACTCCTATTTACAAGAAGATCAGACGCCGCAATTGTGGATTTCTCTGTATTATGTGGACGGTTATCATTTGCAAGTGCTTATTTTCGAGATTTTGGGACAATGCCATTGTTTCTTTCGTGCCGCGGATCTGCCAGACCCTTTTACGCCAGTGCTTGATTTGAATGCAAAACAAAAATCCTTCATGATGAAGACAGAGCTTGGTGGTGAAGTCCCCAGCGCATGCTGCCTTGGTGGTGGAGTCCCCAGCGCATGATGTCCAACAACGTGTCAGAGAGTGAAAAAAAGATTCCCACCGGCTGTGTCTCTTTTTATACACAGTGGTTTGACGTATGTGTTTGCATTCGGGTTCGTGGGCTCCATCTTGTTCCTTTTTAATTTTATGTAATTTCTATGTCATGTCACTTCTCATCCTCGGACTCGTCATGAGACTCACTGAGTCTTGACTCGTTCTGCGTGAGGTGAAGAAGCTCATCGAATACCGAGCAGATCCGCTGCTGGACCGAACCAAACGGCCACAGTCGTCCATCACCGGTACGTGTCAACCCAATTCCTGTCTAGAGTCTATTCCAATTCATCTCAATTCCATTCCATGTCGATTATTCAATGATTTTGGATCCAAACTCGGCCAGTGTGTAGCCTAACATGCATTTTGAACAACTCATGCCAGGACAATAATGCAAGTGAAGATCCAATTGAGTTGGCCAAAGGTGCCATGGCCGGGTCGAGTTGGGGGTTTGTTGGAATGCATTTGCGACTCAAATATACTTTTTGTAAGAAGGAGGCTCGGTCGATGAAAGAGAACAGCCAGAAAATGTGACGAGTTTGCTTTCCCCTCATGGAGCCCGTGTTTTGCACATGTCAGAATCTTTGCCGGCTGTTAATTGTGAGGAGGTCAATGCAGAGGTAGTATAAAAAGCACAAACATGATCGAACATGCCGATTTCTTCTGCACATTCCTTCCCGTCTCACTTGCTCCAGCCAATGGTCATGAAGAAGTTGCAGAAGTCATGGAGGTGCTTCAGCCTGCTTCGTTTCTTTTCGGCCTTGCAAGAGCGAATTGGCCAAGGGCAGCTTTGCATTCGCTAAGATTAGCACCCGCAAACCACCCACTTCACCTCCAGTTCAGTGTATGCAACAAGTGTCATCGTTATAATAAGAACGGCGCACCTCACACCACAACATTATTGGGTTAGTTTTGGTGCTGCCATTGATGGCTGTAGGGTTTGTGGCCGTTGCTTTCGTCCTTTAGTTCACCATCTGGCCCAAGGCCTCCGTCGATGACAAGGAGCAGCTTGCAATGCCCTTGGGCCCAGCAAATTTGGTCCAATCCGAAATGATTTTTTTTCACTGTATCATGCATAATTATCGTGTACTTTATAAAAAGTTAGCTGGAAATGAAAGTGTTCAAGAATCTACGACCTAAGCTCAGATTTAATCAATAAAGGGCACCTTAGGCAAACACGAGGCAGGCAAAACAGATGTGAATAGAGGGTGTGGGTTTGCCATGAAAAGGATATGCGACTTGTTGATTTTTGGAACGTCACAATTTGCAGTGAGATTCGGTCGCAAAGGTCCACGTAGGGCTGGTCGCCACGAGGCCAGGCCCTGAATTCTGCTTCGTTCAATGCCTAGTCCTACTAGTCCGTCCTAATCACGAGACTGAATCGAGAATTTGTGCGAAATCATATAGCTGAGTATGACGACAGTGAAAAGCCATCAAGTGAACAAGTGTCACTGAATTCAATCCAATAATCCATCTAATCTATATAGTTTCCTTGGCCCTCACCGCGGATGTTGCTTTCGAATTGATGGAGTATCGGTCATTCAGGCCTCCTTACACCATTTTGCACCCAGATAAAGGGAAGAGATGATTCTCAGGGATTTGCATAAATCAATGTGCCCCCATAGTTTCTGTGAGCCTGGTCACTGTGTCCCAGAGAGTTTTGGTTGGTTCTTTTGCCTTTTACCCTTATGTACAAGTAGTGTCTATATATAGCTCTATATATAGATATATGTATATATACACACTTTTGTTTAAGCCCTTTTGCAATCTTCATGTTCCTTCAAGCTACTCCGAGGCAGGGGGGCTTGGGATCGGCTTCAAAAGCTGTCCTGTCCTCGTTCCACAACCCAGGAATCGGATCATTTTGGAACGTGAATCTCCTGTTTGGTCCTTTGTTTTGCTGCTTTACTTGTGCGTTTATTGTTCTTTATTTTGGTTTCCTGGTTTGTGGGTTTTTGCTAGTTCCCGTGTCAAGTATGTTGTTTCCGTGTGGTTTGTTGTGCTGGGTGCTCAGTCTTACTGGCCACTTTTGTCAAAAGGAATGACAAGTAATGAACGTAAAAGTCCTGGGGGTTCCATTCCTGATGCGCACACCAGTCCAAGCCATCTCAAGATGTGCACTTACAGAAAAGCGCGATGTACCAAACAAGTTCGATGGTGTGCCCATAAACCAGGAACAAGAAGCTACTAGGGGCTCCTGGCCTTACTACTAGGGGCAAGGACGCTACTAGGGGCTCCTGGCATCGCTACCAGGAGCATTCTTGCTAGTAACCAGAGCTACTTGCTGCGAGCATTCGAAGTCGAGCAAAGCTGGAAGTCGATCCGGTGATCCGGTTTAAGAGTCGGAAGGATCAGAGCAAGCCAACAGCAGAGCAGAGCAGAGCAGAGGGCATGCAATGAATCAATACCGTCAAAGATCGCCAAGTTGCAACGGCGGAAACAACAGCCGTACCTCTGAGAAAGCTAGCTGCTAGCTCGTTTCATCCTGAAATGCAGGTCTTCAACTATCTATCAGATGCCATCAGCGGACACTCATTTAGAGCCCTATTCTCCTGGCAAAGTAGCATTGACTTTGTGCAGTACGTTGACTGTTCTGAACACATCTTTTGAGATCGAAAACAATCATGAACATGTTCATGTGCACGCAGTTTGTTGTGCAAAGTTTGACTCATCCTTTGGATTTGTTTGAATTATTCTCACGTTTTGATTGAGAGCGGGGGGTCATGGGGCCTGGGTTTTGGTTTTCCCAAAATGTTAGGTAAATGCTTCAGTGGCAGCCGCTCTCCATATAAACACAAATACAACCTGAGTCAGGGTCATTTTATTTGTTGGGAAGCAACAATCAGTCATTCAGATGGTTTTTAGTAAAGAAGCAGGCCATAAAAGTGTTTATTTTAACAATTGTCCTCTAGATCTCTGCTTATAATTAAGTATAGATTTGGAAAGATTTTATATAGACGCTTTTATGTTATAAAAGATTCTCTATAGATCTCTGCAGATAAGCATTTTTAGATTTAAACAACTATATAGAAACCTTGTATGTTGAAGGCGTTCTTCTAGTTTTCTGTGGGTTTCCTCTGGATCTATGGGAAAGTAGATATTCCATATATGTGTGTTTTCATGAAAGGAAAGCTATTGAAAGAAAACCGTATTTATTGATGTATAGCATGTTTGAATTGACATGACCATTTCCAGAGATCCAGAGGAAAGCTTTTGAAATGAAAGCTACTATATATATATATATGTATTTATTATAGAAATGAACATCCCCAGAGATCTAGAGGGAAGCTTTTGAATTAGAAGCTTACACGGATTCATAACAGTTTCATGTCAAGCTGATTGGACATGCAATTGGCAACCACATTGATACCAATCAGAAGTTAATGCACAGACTTGTGCATGGAGATTTCAACAAGGACAAAGGGAGTGTTGGGCTCAGACGCTTTCATTGTAAGAGCAAAGAACATATGCCTTTAGGTGAGACTTAGGCTCCCATGCTTGAAGTTTGAACGAAATAGTAATAACACTGATTGTCCTAAATAGGAAAACAAAAAGCAAAAAACCTTGAGAAAACCAATAACAACCTAGGAAAAACAAAAAAACACAATTCTGGAGAAGTCTTGAGGAAAGGGGGGGTCCAGCCAAGAGTCTTTGAGAATTGTTTTTTTGTTTTTGTTTGTTGTTTTGGGTTTTCCCAAGGTTGGTTGGTGCGTTGTTTTTTCCTAAGTGTTTTTGATCTCATTTATCAGTGTTTTTGTTGGTTTTGATTGTATTTGTATACAATTACCTAAAGTTTATGGGAAACCAAAACCCAGGCCCCATGGCCACCCCTTCTGTTTTGATTCCTGTTTTGTGCTGTGGCTGCGCTCCCAGACTCCTCGCAACAAATCTCAAGATGAGTTACATTCAAAATCCTGATGGAAGGATTTTATGAGGAGTTGCACCAAACAATTTTTAGGAATGGACTTAAGAAGCCCTCCTGCAGCTAATTCCGAAAGGAGTGCACAGCATGTCAAACTAGAGAATTGCGAAAGGTGGGTGGGTGGGGTCCATGCGGGTGACCAGATTTGCTTCAGCCATTTGACGAGCCGTTTTTGCCAGATCCGGATGGAACTTCCTCTGAGCAGATCCTTAGCCATGTTACCTTGCAGGTCGTTTCACCGCCAGCCTCAAGGAGATGGTTTAGCACCAAAGGTGCAAGCATAAGCAGCCATCGGCAAACGAAAGAAACGTTGATTGAGGTGTGGCGCAGTGTGATAGATTTAGTATTTCAACATGAAGTCGCATGTGATAGGCACGTTTGGCACCAGCAACTGGATAGCCAAAGAGCACACTCAGGGCGAGGCACGAAGTTCGCGAAGCTCATGTTGTTTCCAGAACGTCTTGGTCTTGGCTCAGGATGGTATATATGCAAATGTTTTTTTTTCTTTGCGTGTCCTTTTCCAAAGCACACGTCCCTTCGGCCCTTCCTGCGAGAGCGACAGTGACTTACCTCACGGTCACAGTTGACCGTGAAGAGTCGTGAAGTGGTGAAGGGGTCTAAGACTCAGATTTGCTCAAACTCGGTTGCAACACGGATGTTGTATTTCCCACCAGGTGGTTGGCTCTACTTTGCATGGCTCCGTGACTAAATCAAAGGAGATTCGACCAAATAGACAATGATGTCAGCTAGGACCAGGAGCGCTGAGTAATCCAAACTCGACTAATGGAGGTTGAGTGGCCACTGTCGACCCTCATAAATCCTCCAAACGGTCCCCATTTGGCGAAAGGAATCTGAAAGGATCTTGAACTTCGGGTTCCTTTTCACGAAAGCTAGCGAAGCTAGCTGGAGTTACTCTTGCGATAGCAAGGTTTCTTTCGACCGGGTGCAAATCCTAACCCGTGATTTTTCAGGTCGAAGCCCCCTCCCCCCCGCCCTCCCCCTCCCCTCTCCCCACCTCCCCTCTCCCCACCTCCCCTCTCCCCACCTCCCCTCTCCTCCTCCCACCTTCCCTCCCTCCCTCCCTCCTCCCTCTTCGTCGCAAGTTCGACTCCGTCCTGTCGTCGCTCTTTGGCATGCGGTTAGCGTTGCGTATCTTGCGGCCGCACTCGCTCACTCTCACTGTCTCACTGTCTCACTGTCTCTCTCTCTCTCTCTCATCTCTCTCATCTCTCTCATCTCTTTCTCATCTCTCTCCTCTCTCTCTCTCTCTC